GTAATGTAGCCTGTGCTAGTGCTATCAGCCTGTGACGAGTCCCCGAAAGGGGGAGGAGAGCGCGATAACATGGCGACCGCGCATGGCAGTTCACGTTCACAGCGGCCAGACATAAAGCCGAGAGAGTCTGGCAATGATGGGCGGAGGACGGGGGGAGGGAGGTGTCCTAGAGACGGCCGGCGAAGAGCTCCGAAAACCCTCGAATGAAGCCGAGTACAGCCAACTGTGTTGTTGAGGGATGTTTCTTATTATAGCCTTCGGTAACTGTGGCAGCAAACACTCAGAATAACATCTTTTGTCCGCTGTGGTTATTATTATTTGACATTGAAGAGGGGGAGAGAAAGACAGGGCACGGATTTCTGGGTCATTTAAGGCTGACATATTGCTTTATCTATGTACAAAAAATATTTTTGGATTTTATTGATTCAAAACTCATTAAACAGAAAATAAAAATTTTGAACCTGAGAAAGATAATAGTAAACACCAGTTTTTAGGTTAGGTGCTGTTGTGTGTTTTTGCCCTGTACAGGGCAGCGACATCAACAAGATGTAAACAGACCCTGTGCTGTGACATCAATGATTTGTTCTGTTTTTGCAAAACAGCTAGTCTGAAAGAGTAGCCAGATATTTCCACAGACAGAAAAGAACAACCAAACACATCTGCACTGACACAGTTATTTTACACACGCTGTTTGTTGCTCACCTCTGTTTAGGGATGAGAAGTAAAGTTCTAGGTCCGGCAGACCTACACAAAATACATTATGTGTCTACTATGCATGTGTTTTACTTTAAACATGTATAATTTAATTCCAAAATATGTGTTTTATTTCAGACAACAACAGCTAGGTTATAAAATAACAACAAGGAATGTATCTCATGTGCGCTGATCCAGCTATATTTAGCTTTCAGCTGTGACAGTGAGAATAGCATCTTTGTTGTGTGGAAGAAGACATTTTCAAAAGTATGAACACCAGATTAACGCTGATGAATTGCCATCACTTCTACCGGGTGAAATAGTGGGTTTCAGATAACTGTTGAAATTTGTAAACATAAAAAAAAAAATCAGTTTGTCAGAAAAGGGTAATGGTATGACTAAGAGAAATATTATGCTGAAAGCATATTCAAAGATCATATTTAATATTAGGTTTAATATTTAGTTGACATTTGATGTTGTAGTTGAAAAGAAAGCTAATTTCTTCATTCCTAAAGTACCATTTATTATAAGATTATGTGTATATAATGTGGCATTGTGTAAAAGCTGATATGATGCAGTATGTTGACAGCTCTGCTCGTGATTTTTCTAATATGGACTAACAATGACAAGGTACCAAATGTCTTGCATATCATCTTGTTGTTTATTACATCAAATTGGCGATTTATGAGTGTCCCATTAGATAGGGATGACACATCCCATTGCCCTTGCCAAACCCGTGCGCTTGAATGTGAAATGGAATGACACAAGTGAGTGATCTCAGTGTAACACATTAAGTATGAGGAAACGGGGTCTGACAGTCCCAAAATGGGCGTGTGCCCTGATGTCCAGATCAAGCAGACAGGCTGTGCCCATCCATACAAATTTCAGAGGGAGAGAGCCAGCGAGAGCTGATTGCAATGTAAGCGTCTGGTGCTGTCAGCAGCTTTAAATCACACTGGCACTCCACAACAAAAAACACAGAGAGCTATTGTGCTCCTGAACAATAATGGTCAATTTATACACTGGAGTCTGCTTTCATTTTGTAAACACTTATTAAAACAGGTATCTTTGGTGATATAGGGAAAAAAAATAGAGATCCTCTATGAGAATTGCCATTGTTCTGTGTAATTTAACTCCGAAATGAAAGCTTATCCCTCCGGAGTATGCCAATGGTGGCCGAGGTTTACTTTAACAAGGCGGCCGATCGTTTCAGTCCGATCTCAACAGTTTGTGTGGGACATTTTAACTGGGATTGGACGCAATGTAATTTAGGCCTTGCAGAAAGTTTGTTATTGAAGGATAGGGAAGTTATAAACTATAGCTACTGGAGCCAAAAGCACTGTTGCTCAATTCACATGTGAATCAGTGTCATGGTGTGTTTGCAGAAGAAGGTACGAGGATGAGGAGTAAGTTCCAACATGAAGTTTAATAACAATAATCCAAACAAAGTAAAAATCGGACTGGATAATAAGACAGGAAACCAGGAACTAAAGAATTACAAATTAAAAGTCCATGAACAAAAAAAAAAAACTGAACATAATGGTGACAAGAAGGTGTTTACATATAAGTTTAATAAAGGGTGGAAGGACGGATCTTTAAAAAACTAAATCATGCATGATATGAACTTTGTAAACAGCGATAATTATAAGGTAAACATGCTGGGGTTTCTCCCAATGTTTTTCTCCATACTCTGAACACCCCTGATGGAGTTTTGGTTCATTGTCACTGTCGGCTTTGGTTTGCTCACTTCAGGGTCCAAAACACTCAATATTCAGTAATAATATCGATTTAACTATACTGATTATCAGATGATAACAAAACTTAAACTGTCTTCTGTTTAGCTGCTTTTGAAGTTGTTTCATAATTATTGAACTTTGCAACATTGACACTGTTAGCTGAATTTAATCAACACTAAACTAAATTGAGCTGAAAGACACTTTCATTTAACTGAACTGAATCAACTGACTTGAGCTGAAAAATTATAATTGTCTTCTTTGGAGCTGCTTTATTGCTAAATTGAGTTTCATAATTGATGAACTTGGCAAGATTGACTGTTGTGAACTGAGATGTATCAACATTGAACTAAATTGAGCTGAATAATGACACTTTTTTGTCTTCTGTGGAGCTTTAGCTGAGTTGAATCCATTTCAGAACTGAACTTTCCAACATTTTCATTTAGCTGAATTGAAACAATATTGAACTGATTTGAGCTGAATAATGATACTATCATATTCTGTAGAGCTGCTTTATAGGTGAAATTGAAGTAATTTCAAAACTGATGAATTGTGCAACTCTGTTATTTTAATGTTTCTGATTTGACTTGACTTGTTTTGATTAGTCTTTTTCTAAATGAAACCCCCCATAGCACCTGAAGTGTCAGTTTATAATACTACTGTATTATGTGGTTAAGAGGAAATGCTTATAGCTGACTTTACAGTGACTCTTCCCTTTGCAAATGAATCATACGTGTTTGACCTGGACCCCCGTTATGCCTCTATGAGGAAATGCAACTGTTTTAAAGTAGTTTCATACATTTCTTTAGGAACTTTCAAGACAAAGCATCCTAATACCTCTGACATAAATCCGCAACAGTATGCTATTCAATTCTTAGAGGCTCAGGAAGCTGTGAATACGCAAGCTGTGAATAAGTCTTTCATAAGCAAACTGAGCAAGAAAGGTCAATTATGAATATGATCATCTAACTTTGTAATTTGCATGAAAGTTAGTGATGATGAATATGCAACATACTCAAGCAGGTTTTGCAAGTTTACTAACTTGATCCGGTTTATTTATAGGGCACGTGAATAGGCAAGGCAAGTGAAGGATTAGGGGCATTAAATGGCATTATCTGTTTGTTTGTTTTTTTGCTTGAAAACCTGATAAATTCCTCTTCTGTACTTTGTGAGGCCTGCTGGGTAACATTCACTTTTGTATTATTTAGTCACTTTGTTTCAATCATAACCTTGCTTGTAATGATCTTAAAATACTGAGTCTGTAAACTTTTATGGTTATGGATAAATGAATGTGAATGTATTTCATTCCAGTCTCCTCTGCCTCATGAGTTGATGTCCTTGACAGTGAAAGCAAGGACGGCACTCCCTACATTTCAGCACTCTGTAATATGTGAATAATCTTCGCAAAACTACTTGTTCAGAAAAGGTTTGAATTCACATGAAATATGAACATGTGGTGAAAGGCAAGCATTTTGGCCTATGAAGGATGTGTAAACCACCTGTGTCAAAGGTAAACTATACGTTCTCAAACCAGATAGATTTATTGAATTGAAATCAAAAAGACATTTTTAAGACATATTATTAATTAGTAAGTGTTTAATGTAAAATGTAAATCAGCCTGTTTGAGGTTTTAAGCTTCTCTTTGAATACTATTTTATCTAACTATCTTTTTGGGATATATTTAAGTGCCTATATCTGATGATACAAATGTAGTCACCACTATTAACACTTTCTAAATACTATAATTAAGTCTTCACTTGATATTTGAATGGAGGAATAAATGCTGAATTCAGTTGATCTCATGCCTTTAGAAACAGGCCCTGGATTTGAGGACTATTGAAACAAAAGAGGGTCAAACTGCTTCATCTAGTGGTGACTTCATGAGATTTCCCATTTTCATGAGATTTTCATTAGATTTCCCATTTTCATGAGATTTAACATTTTCATGAGGTTTTCCTGAACAGTTCACAGTTGAAACCACAGTTGAATACTATAAGTTTTAGCTGTTTAGGAAAGTATACATTTCCACTGAACTAATTAGTTGTAGGCTATATCGTCAAGAGTCATTTGACAGTGATAAAATATTAGAATGTGAAAATTGATTATTTTGTGTTTATCGTAGACAAATTGCTTGCTTTGAAAACTCAAACAGAGAAAAAATTCCATATGGGTTTTTGAGGATTTGTGATATTCATATTAGCTTTGCACTCTTAGCCTAGCCTATAATATTAGTAGTGAGAAGTATAAGGTTTAACATACGTAGGCTACTTAGCCTATATTCTGCCTGCTACATAGTTTGTAGTTAAATTCATTTAACTGCTTATGAAACTTGGCAGTCTAATCTACACTAACTCGCTTAAAAACTTCTGGTTTTGTGATTATCTTTAGATTGATGCAATGTAAAGTAAATATAATTTCCTCACATGGCCACTAGATGGGGGTAAATAGATATATAAGTCTCTGAGGTGGCCAGCAGGTTTATGAACTAGAGTGTTTGTGTTGTCTATGTATTCGTGCGATTTGCCTTTCATAAACCAACGACACATTTACTTATTTTCAGTAGGCCTAATAGATTTTTGTTCATAACACAGAGCCCTTCAGTCATGTCAGACAAAGGAAAAGACGTCGATTTAACCAGAGCCAAACAAAATACGGGAGTCTGGCTGGTGAAGGTCGGTGATTTATCAGTCAGAAGTTGCTTCTGGGTTTCACTGCTGAACATTTACACAAACTCTGGAATATTGAACTATGGCACGTAACTAACACTTTATACGGTAGACATGAATGATAGAAGGTGCCGTCATTAGTCTCAAACTTTGATATGATTTCTCCAATTTTACATAACCTAAGTTAAATTAAACCTTTGGAAGGCTGTTAAACCGTCTTCAACGAATCCCAAAAGTATGTAAATTAAAGAGTGCTGTTGTTTAAACCTGCCCCAAAAATTAACTTAGTTGTCAGTAGGTGAGAGATGTAAACAACAGGATTGAGAGAAACATGGAAATCAGATTAAATTATTTTAATCATATTTTTATACAATCCTCAGTTTACACTCATTTGTTTTTAAGCATTTTAAATTAAAAAAGGAAACAAACAGAGGACACTTTAACTAAGAAGAGCAAGTTGGAAAAAACATTGACAAAAATTCAAAACTCGACAATTTAAAAAAAAACAATAGATGGTGTGCCATTTTTTTTAAATCTCAAAATTGTTATTTTTGTAAATCTATTATATTAATACACCGAGTCATCAGTGATTATACCCTTGTAGCTCTTGTCTTATTGTTTAAATTGATGGTAGTAAAACTTCAAATTGGGAGGTGTTTTAAAGAGAGAGGTATGCTAGTGATCAGAGATGCTAGTGATTAGATGTCTTAGATTAACATTGAGGGATGGACCCAAGCTGTAGCCAAAGACCAGAATTATTGAGACTTTGTGGTATTTTTTTAAACTTCTTGTACTAGCAAGTAACCAGCTAAAAACAACCCGGAAAACCATAGCAATGTGCTAAGAACCACATTAGCAACAGCAATGCCATGGCAATCTCACACTACATGGATCATTGTTGTAGCAAGTTTACACTATCATTTGCTTCAAACATATAGTTGAATTAATAAACTAAGGCAATATTTAGTTATACTCAGACAAATATGAGGAAACAGAGCAATAGATACAATTTCTTATTCACTTTTCTTTAGGTTCCCAAATATCTTTCTCAGCAATGGGCAAAAGCATCTGGGCGAGGAGAAGTAGGCAAACTCAAAATTGGGAAGTATGGAAGTATTATTTTTAAACCCCATTCAAAATGGAAATTATTGTCTGAAATCTTTCCACTCATGCTTTTTTCCTGTCTTCTAGAGCTCAAGGAAAGACTGTGGTAAGTTTTATTAATGTCATTAAAGGCCTGCACTGTGGAGGGGAAGTATTTGCTCATGTTTTATTCAGATGTCACAGTTTATTTGCATAATTACTGTGATCAGACCCTGGGCTGGAGAGAGAGATCATTTTATGATGGTGCTGTTGCAGACACTGATTGATTTGTTGTTTCCTCAGGTGTCTTTCAATCTGAGTGAGGATCTGACAGTTGTGGAGTGCTCTGGGGAGAAGGTTTCGTCTGTGCGCAGCCCTAGAGAACATCCCTTCACCATGCAGACGGTGGGAGGTCAGAGCCTCGCTGTCTTTACAGAGAGCTCAGGTCAGTATAACGATGGCTTCTGATACTGTGAAGACTAATTGGTTTAGGAAACTGTGTCACCTTAATGTCCAAGATCGACATAAACGGTTAAGTGAGAGTAGCCAATTCCTCAATATTTACATTTAATCACTTAGCAGACGCTTTCATCCAAAGCGACATGCAAATGAAGAGAACAATAGAAGCAATCGAACCAACAATAGGGCAACAATATGTAAGTGCAATGACAAGTCCCAGTTAATCTAGCACAGTGCTTCTCAAACCTGTCCTGCACCCCCCCCGCAAGAACCAATGAGGTTCATTCTTGTGTTACGCAGCACGTTTGAGCTTCTGCAAGAACCAATGAGATTCATTCTCGTGTTACGCAGCACGTTTGAGCTTCTGCAAGAACCAATGAGGTTCATTCTCGTGTTACACAGCACGTTTGTGCTTCTGCAAGAACCAATGAGATTCATTCTCGTGTTACACAGCACGTTTGTGCTTCTGCAAGAACCAATGAGATTCATTCTCGTGTTACACAGCACGTTTGAGCTTCTGCAAGAACCAATGAGGTTCATTCTCATGTTACGCAGCACGTTTGAGCTTCTGCAAGAACCAATGAGGTTCATTCTCATGTTACGCTGCACGTTTGAGCTTCTGCAAGAACCAATGAGATTCATTCTCGTGTTACACAGCACGTTTGAGCTTCTGCAAGAACCAATGAGGTTCATTCTCGTGTTACGTAGCACGTTTGAGCTTCTGCAAGAAGTTGAACTAATGAGGTTTGTTCTTGTGCATCAGTCAGGTTCGATTGAGTTTCTGTTTATGTTCACTGATCAATGTTTATATGTGAATCAAAGCCAAAATTAAATCTGTTTATCATATAAAGCGATTGAGTCTCTAATCGGACTAAGCCGCTCAATTTATATAGATGTTTTTTTATGCTCTCTTAATGAACTTTTTGAAGCATTAAAGTGGTAGTTGCGTAGCTGTCAATGGAGGGACAGAAATCTCTCAGATTTCATCAAAAATATCTTCATTTGTGTTCAGAAGATGAAAGAAAGTCTTACGGGTTTTGGAATGACATGAGGGTGAGTAATTAATGGCAGAATTTTCACTATTGGGTGAACTAACCCTTTAGTGAAAAAGATTCGTCCTTAGCCTTTTCTTGACAACTCAGCAGCTCGGGTTGAGTTAGGAAGGTCCTTCCACCAGCAGGGAACAGTCAAGTTAAAGGTCAGTGGAAGTGATTTTGTGCCTCTCTGGGATGCCACCACAAGGCGCCGTTCACTTGCAGAACGCAAGCTTCCGGAACGCACATAAGTCTGAAGTGTTTATATCCAGGCATAAGTCTGAAGTCTGAAGCACGTAAGTCTGTGTTAATATCCAGTAAGCCGTTACATCAGCCAGTCCAAATAATTGGATGATATTTGGATATGTTGAGATTATCGGCATAAATTAATCATCCTTCTGAGGGTGGCACGGTGGCTCAGTGCGTAGCACTGTCGCCTCAGAGCAAGAAGGTCCACGGGTCGAGCCCGCCGGAGCCAGGAGTCCTTTCTGTGTGGAGTTTGCATGTTCTCCCGATTCTAAAGACATGCAGGATAAGTGGAAGGTAGGGGTCTGTGTGCGTGTGAGTGTGTCCCAGCAGCACTCTCAGTTAGGAAGGGCATCCGGCATAATACCTGTGCCAAATCCAATGTGTGTGTGCGAATAATTCAAAAACAGACTTGTTAAAGGATCATTTAAAAATGTGTTTTTTATTTAACACATTTGCTTGCTTAATCTATTTAGCAGTTTGTTTTTGTACATATTATTGCTAGAATAAATGTTATACTGGCTCCTTGTTCTCTATTGAAATCAGCATCGGCCACAAAAAAAATCTGTAGGAGTTTTAGGAGCCTTCACTGTGTTTAACGACAGGATGCAACAAATGAAAAAAGGCACATTATCATTCAAACGTTTCTGAAAGGAAACAATACTTTTATTCAACAAAGAGACATTAAATTGATCAAAAGTGACAGTAAAGACATTTATAATGTTACAAACGATTTCTATTTCAAACAAATGCTGTTCCTTTGAACTTTCTATTGATCAGAGAATCCTCAACAATTTATAAGAAGAAGAAATGTTTCTTGAGCATCAAATCAGCATATTAGAATGATTTCTGAATGATCATGTGACACTAAAGACTGGAGTAATGATGCTGAAAATGCAACTTGACAAATATATTAAAATAGAAAACAATTATTTTTAATTGTAATAAGATATTTTACTGTTTTAATTGTGTTGCTGCGACGGTATCATGCCATGCAGCATTTTATCATTCATTATGGACAGACAAACTCCTCAAAGCTGGATTCATTGTACACTGTATAAACTTGCGGACTTGAAGGGCCATCCTCTTACTTCCCATTGCAAGCTGACAGATAAAGATCTTTAATAAGTGACCCCACTGAAGATCGCTGTATAACTACAGCTCATATGCACAGCTTAATAATTGCAGTCTTACTGAAAATCACACAAGGCTAAGTGCAGAATTGCAATCATTGTGTTGTGCGCTTTTGTTCACTTATGATATATTTTTTCTCCAGTTGTCTGCTTAGCGCTCACAAGCCCCAGGTATTGATTAAGTGGTTGCTTAGCAACAGGTTGGCCACAGAAGTTGGCAATGAATAGAGGCTCTACTTGTACAGTTAAAAGCTTTTTCTGGGGGTGGAAGGGTAACAGTGTCTTTTTCTCAGTAAGTTATGAATTGAAATGGTTCAGGGTATGATCTGCTCTCTATTGGCTAATGCAAGCATAAAGACTTTTCTTTGGTATTAGTTTCTTTTTTGGTGTTTAAGAGGACACAGAGGGCTATTTGAGAGATTGAGGTCATGCAATCAGGTGGCAGAAAGATCACGTTTTTGTATTTTCTGTCATAAAGGCCAAAACAAAACCTTCACAACGAGGGTGTGCATGTTTAGAGATTGATTTGAACTGCACATCTATGTGTTTTAATAGTAGTAACCCTAGCTGGGATGCATGTGATTAAGACACGTGTCCTTGGCTTTAAGCTCACTGATTTAAAGAGATCGTTCGGCAAAAAATTTAAATTCTGTCATTTACTCTCACACTCATGTTGTTTCAAACATGGAAGACTTTTGTTCCTCTTCGGAACACAAATGAAGATAATTATAATGAAATCTGAGAGATGTCTGTCCCTCCATTGAAAGTCTGTTCACACAAAACTGTTCAAAAAAGAGATTGTAAAACAAATCAATAAGAATTGAGCGATTTAATCCAAGGCTTCTGAAGATACACTTTCACTTTATGTGATGAATAGATTTAATATAGGCTTTTATTCACATATAAACATTTATCAGCGAACGTACATCGAGAACTCAAAGATGGTAAATGCAAGCTCAAGCCAGTAAGGTTCATTCTCACATGTCAAGTTTGTACAGTTAAGATTTTCGGTTTAGTCTCTCAGATTTCATTAACAATAGCTTCATTTGTGTTTTAAAAATTAACAAAAGTCTTATGGGTTTGGAAAAACATGAGAGTCAGTAACTGATGGCAAAATTTTCATTTTTTGGTCAACCATACCTTTAAGATAGACATACTGTAGCCTTGTGTTCTGCAAAGCAATGTATCAGCAGACTTTGGGTAAATAGTAAATGTTTTTATTATTATATAACCTCTCATTTTGAGACAGACTTCTGTAGCAGATTTTCAGTGTTTGCTGTTTTTTGAAGCAGTCGATCTGTCAGAAAGCAGCAGCGTATAAATGGACCAGGTGCGCAGTGGTGTGTGGAGGAGCTGCTGAGACTTTAAGGTTTTTTTTTTTTTCTTATCAAGTCCTTCACAATGATAGGTTGAAGAGGCAGCTTGAACTGATTGACATGGGCACTTAAAGCCTCCATGTTGCAAGGTTAAAGTTAGACTCAAAGAGTTGGACTCTTGCGCACACATGTGCGCTACTCTTTTGAAAGTTGCGAAAGCTGTTTTCTGTGCACACAGTAGCGCCGATTTCCATCTGTGGCTTGAAATAGAGATGTCGCTTTTCAGCTTGCACAAAAGAGTCACGTGACTGGTAATCAAGGCTGGATGTTGGGGGTTGAGAGGGTAGTTTTTTCTAGATATGCACCGTAAACATGCTGTAAGAATGTTTAATGCATTTATAGCTGGCACATTCTTGGTTACAGATGTTTTATTTGAATCTGAGTGTTAGTGATAATAGATGGTTTGGTGAATACTTGTTGAATATCAAAAGTCAGCATGAAGATTTGCAGGCTTTGTTTCTTTCAGCAGTTGAAACTTGCCATTTTCTTATTCCTAATATTTACTTTGATTCGTTCCATCGTGCTTTTCTTTTACAGATGGCCTTGACTATTGCCCATTTCACGTTGTTCTAACATGGCGATGTGCCTCTATTCAAGCTCACACTTTGAAAAGTACATTAGCAGGGATTTTATTCTTTGCTTTGTCTCCATTCTCTCTCTGTGTGGATGAGAAATTGGTCTCTTAAGGGCATATGAGTCCTTGAAGTCACATGTTCGCCTGACCATTCATTTTGATCAAATTGAGAGGGAGCCATTAGTCATGCCTCCTTGGGAGCACACGATGAGAATCTTTGGCTTCTTTTTTGGTATGTAGGAGTCTTATTTGCCTGGCAACAATTGGATGTGAGACTAATCCATGAATATTTCAGCTGTTAATGGATTCCTTCCATTTGAAATAAATGCTCCCGCTTACCAGCACCCTCCCGCAGGTTTCCAGTCCCCTGCTGGCAGCGGTTTAGAAACACATCAGACAGTGACGGTGGGCTAATAAGCCCTGCTGTGTCTCATCAAATATGAATGACTGATATCTGCAATTAAAAAGAACCCTGTTTTGATGTCCACATGACAGACTGTGGAGATTTGAAGTTGTTTCTTTTTTTTTCTCTGTGTCAGAAATGTGCTTCTGACTCATTTTAGTGGGATATTGCATGACAGATTTGATGGAAAACAGATGGATACTAGTGTGTGGAGATGTCGGCTAATCCAAAGTGAGTGTAACCATATGTCTGCCTTTGCCTTTCTTTGAAACGGCCGACTTAGACTGTAACTGAATTTAGCTGTGTCGAGTAGAGCTGTTTTTCAGAATTACTCAGCGCTATTGACTGCGCTCTGAATGTATTTTGTTGCAAATTCACAAGGTGATTGATCTATTTTGAACTTGATATTTTCCCACGGCAATGTTCTTGGCTCTGACTAATGTATCTGCAACATTTGAATACTTAAGAAAATATATTTTAAGTTGACAAGTTTTTTTTTTTACTGTGCTAAATGAGTTTGCCTAGTTTTCTGGGAACATCAGATGCATCAGATGTTGTTTATGAATCAGTGCACACATAATGAAATAATGTGTATGTATGCCATGTGCTCTAGAAATGATCACACCCATCTGAATTTGGATCAATGCTGGAGGAAATTTAATTTTAGGTCACATTTTGCTGCATAATATAACAAACTTTCAATTTAGGGCAGAGTATCTTCCTTACAAGCATACTTACTGCAAATAAGAAAAAATAAAGCTCTATTTATACAGCCCACAGTAATTTGTCAGCGTACATTCCACAGTTCACAGACAAAACCATATGCAGTGTTTGCCAGTGTATATTTTCACCTAGAAGATGAACCACAGTCTCATTCATAAACATTTCAACAGTGCTTTGAATAAATTATAATGCGGCTTTATTGTGCAAAACATTCACAGACTCAAAATTACAACCTGTTGTTTACTACGTGTTCACATGACCAGAAATCACAAAACTTGCTCACAAATGTAATGATCATCACACTCAGCCTTTTGATTCCACAACACTCTGCAATTCAGATCCATTATCATTATCACTATCACAAACCATTGCTACTCTTGTAAAAACAACTGCAAACAGAAGACGACTACATACACAAGCCATACAAAACCCCACAGTACAGTACATATCATCTCTCTTGTTTCTCAAGGCTGTCCATTGAGTGTGTCACGTAGAAGCAGACTAGCGGAGTATTCCAGAACAGGTTTTCGGTTGAGGACGCTGGTGTTTGTTAATGCAAGATGGTTTTCGGCAGGTCATGTGGTTAGTGGTGACAGTTCTGCTCGGGTCACTTGACAAAATGCAGAGCCTCGCACTGAACCACTGATCCGCGACTGCTGTCTAGGCTGGTGAGCAGGCGGAAACCCCCTTTGAGTGCCAGCATCACCGTCTCCAGCTTCAGACACTCCAGTGTACACAAAAACGTGCTGTCCTGCTTCAGCACAAGCCGAGAGCCCTGCTCCGACTTGATGAAATGCCGGAACTGGATGACGTTGGACGACACCTCGAACTCCTCCGGAAAGCCATCCAAGCGACTTTTTGAGATCTGCACTAGGCGGCTTTTCACCTTCTCGATGAAGCTGTTGTCGCTGCTGTAGACCTTCAGACCCTGCGAGCGCTCGTGGCTGTCCGTCACCTCCAGGAAGGCGGGCTCGCGCTGCGTGGCCTGCTGATGCTCCCAGTTCTGCAGGGCTTGGGCCAGCTCGCTCAACCGGTAGAAGTCGGCCTCGCGGCGGAGCAGCTCGCCTTCCTTGAAGTCCTCGGGCAGCACCAGCTCGCCCAGGCGCAGGAAATTCAACACGTGCCGGAAGATGGGCCCGTCACGGTCGATGAAGGTGTTACCCATGGAGTCCACGTGCAGCACGGGCTTCTTCCCGGTTACCATCTCCTCCAGCAGGGATCCGGGGTGCTTGGCCAGGGTCTGGCGCTGTGCGGCGTACAGGTAGCCCCCCACGTTGATGGTGATGGTGCCGGAGGAAGGTTTCTTAAAGCTCTTGCTGGGCTGCAGCAAGTCAGGATTGATCTGTCTCAGTTCGCTCTCCATCCTTCTGAGATTCCATTCCATGCCGTTCCTCACACCCAGCCTGGCGGAGTGTGTGTGGGGAGCGCGCGCGTGAGCGGGCGGGCGGGCGGACAAATAGGAGCGCAGCTGAGCGGCGCTGGCATGAAGCGCGGGAGCAGTGTGCGCTGCCAACAGTGTCTGAGCCTTTCACAGCCACGCAAACACATATATGTGTGCGCGCGTTCACTCGCAGTGGGAGGAGGGGTGTTAAGGGTGGGCTCTACTGCGTCAGCGGTGTGGGCTCGGAAGGAGCGAGTGCTTTGCTCGCTGCTCTCCGCTCTAAAGGCTGAATTTAATCACCTTTCCACTTCAGCGCTTCTCTGGCTCTGCAATTAGCGTCACTGCCCTCTGATGAAAGGAGTCCTCGGTTGGGTGGCGGCACGTGAACTCACCGAGAGGGCCAAATCACAGGGATCCCACATAATGAACTCCCTCCAACAAAAGTGTGAGAAGAGCGAGATGTTAATGCTTTCACGTCTATCGTGTTAAGTCGTTGCTTTGAAAAGCCGTCTGTGTGATGTGCCGACAACTGGCAGCTTTATCGCCAAACGAGCCATATCGAGTACAGTGTAGGTGTAGTTATGTAAATTATTGTGTTAGTCTTCATATCAAAAGGGATGAATGCATTGAAGCCTTCTCGCTCTTTCTGAGATGCTGGGTTCGCTTTGAGGCACTCGTCCATGACCCAGTTATCGACGAAGCCAAGAAGTGAGCCTTTGATAATGAAGCCTATGCCTTCACTTGAAGTCATGGGGTCTGAGCTCGTAATTGGCCCCAAGCCGTCTTTAAGGGTGTTGTACATGCTACAAAGATGTATCGTGCTGTGTCACCATATAAACCACCTAGAGAAGAGAACCCAAAATCGATATTTCTAATACAATTCCTTATAAACGTGAGCTCAAACCTTCGACTGTTGCAAAGAGGACGTGCCCTTAAACAGCAGCAGAATCGCCATGACATCTTTCTCAGTGATGTCCCTAACAGATAACACCCTGTCAATCATTCTTGAATGACGGCACTTCTACTGTTGCCCCAGGACGGGGGGAGATGGACCCTTCTAAACCACATGTTGTGCTATGTACGTCATCAGCAGCTGAGACGGGGTGGAGGCTAATTCACTGTCTGAGTGCTGGGGTCAATTTGGCTTTACATATTCATCAGATGGTTTAAATTGTTTTTTTTTCACACACTTTTTTTTTTTTTTTTTACTGAAGGAAAAATCTAGAATTTAAAAATCTAGCATAATTTACATTTTGCCAAACAACATTGATATACCTACTTTGACAGCTGATATTTTGGTTTATTAATCACTAGGGATGTAACGAGACACTTATGTCATGATTCGATACATATCACGATACTGAACTCACGATACGATATCATTGCGGTACTCCAATACATATGGTAAAAGGTTAACAAAAAATGTACTGTTGGTTAAACTGTTAAATTGGTTTTACATTGGGGCTGGATATGAATAGGCTGGTAACCCAACTCACAGGACAACGGTGACACCAGAATATTTATGATTCTGAAGCTGAAAATGCAGAATTATTTTAGACAAATATGCTCACTGACTAGATATATTTAAAATAATGTAGGCTACTTTTTACTGATAACATAAGATATTTGGCATTATCAGGACCCACATATATCACCCCATTGCAATATTATGCATAATATATTCAACATTATAGTAGGTTAATGTAGTACTGACACTAAAACACTGTAAAAAAGAAAATTTCTCACAAAGTACTTTTCATTTTGGGTAAAATACACACAATACAGATTGTCACTATCAGGGTTAGGGTTACATATACATATTGTTGCATTTTTGTATTGTGATATACAGTATTGTGACACGATATATTGTTACACCCCATTAATTACTGATATGGCAGTGATTCCTGGATGAGTTTTGAAGAACGGCACAATCAAAAGAGTCGTGTCAAATCGTTATAGTTAACTAGATCTCTAGATTAATGTCAAATGTCACAGTTGTTACAACTGTATAAGATTATATTAAATTCTTTAAAATCACCTAAATAATATTCAGAAGCAAAGCCTTCACCGTGTTGTGATGTCACAAATGTGCACCGCAGCCACAGTCCTCATTACTCGTTTAAACTGTGCCGCCAGTGCACATAGCCATCTGATTATAGATGCAGTGACAGTTCATTATGGTCATATATGACTGATTATAGTTGTTATAGACGATAGCTCGGTCATGGTTTAATCATCATTTGATTACTGGGTTTATTCATCTGCATTTGAATTGCAAACAAGATTTAACTATTAACTATGCCAGAGAAAATAGTGGGTGGCTGACCTGCTTTTGCTCATCTATCTTTTTGTTTTAATTGGTGCACTTGTTAATTCATCTTGAAGAAGCCCAAATTGATTTTAGTCCAGCAGTGGCAGACCGGCAAAAGCAGGCAAATGTAGATCAGAGCACTTGGATTGAAAATATTCTAGTTAAACTATGCAAAAGAATATGAAGTCTTGACAAACACAGAAACAATGAATGATGGCAAATTGGAGCAAATGCTGTGCTTGTTGGCCGGATATATAATTAGTTATGCATATTCATGAAACTACAGTATCCAAAACTTTTTGAATTCTTAAGTCATGCATTACAAAACAAAATAGTGAGTGGAATTTATAAAAAAGAGAGCTCAAGCACACTTTTGAAAGCAAACATTTCACACAATTTTTTTTTTTAAATGATAGATATACTGTATGGAACACTTGACATGCAAAAGAAATTAAACCTTCGTTCCACATTTTATTAATTTGTTCCCTCATTTTAGCTAAATCGGGAGTCGTGACCATGTTGTACTAATTCATTCCCTTATTTTACCAATGTTTACCAAATTTTACCATTTTAAACAATGACCATGATTTTTCAAAAGATGGAACAAATTAGAACATTGTGGCAACAATTTACCTACAACAAGGGAACAGATGAATAAGTCATTAGAACGAATTGTAAATTTGTGGCCATGATATATATATATATATACACTCACCTAAGGGATTATTAGGAACACCATACTAATACTGTGTTTGACACCCTTTCGCCTTCAGAACTGCCTTAATTCTACGTGGCATTGATTCAACAAGGTGCTGAAAGCATTCTTTAGAAATGTTGGCCCATATTGATAGGATAGCATCTTGGAGTTGATGGAGATTTGTGGGATGCACATCCAGGGCACGAAGCTCTCGTTCCACCACATCCCAAAGATGCTCTATTGGGTTGAGATCTGGTGACTGTGGGGGCCATTTTAGTACAGTGAACTCATTGTCATGTTCAAGAAACCAATTTGAAATGATTCGAGCTTTGTGACATGGTGCATTATCCTGCTGGAAGTAGCCATCAGAGGATGGGTACATGGTGGCCATAAAGGGATGGACATGGTCAGAAACAATGCTCAGGTAGGCCGTGGCATTTAAACGATGCCCAGTTAAAGTGTGCCAAGAAAACATCCCCCACACCATTACACCACCACCACCAGCCTGCACAGTGGTAACAAGGCATGATGGATCCATGTTCTCATTCTGTTTACGCCAAATTCTGACTCTAACATCTGAATGTCTCAACAGAAATCGAGACTCATCAGACCAGGCAACATTTTTCCAGTCTTCAACTGTCCAATTTTGGTGAGCTCTTGGAAATTGTAGCCTCTTTTTCCTATTTGTAGTGGAGATGAGTGGTACCCGGTGGGGTCTTCTGCTGTTGTAGCCAGGGTTCTAAATTAACACCCGCCAACCCGCCAAATGCGGGTTAAAATTCATTTTGGCGGGTGTTAATAAAAACTTACTAGCCAGTTTGGCCGGTGATGCATAAGGTTCTGTTCTCGGTCATTTATCCCCCTGGCAGTACTTCCTACATTTCTCATAAACACTGTGCCGTAATGCTACGTGATGACGTTTCATACGCCCATTGGCTGCGCGCAGTTTGCAGTGAAACCAGTACGCGTCCGTCCACCAGAAAACACAAGGAAGATGAAGAACGAGTCAGAGCAGGGAGCATAGACTGAAAGAGGAGGAAGCTAGTAAAGTAGCTAAAGTAAAAAGTTAAGATTAAACTAAATGCGGCGGTGATTGGGACAGACTTCTGGGTTTAAATTTAAATGTCGTTTAACGAGAGATAGCCTACGTTATTTTTTTTAAGTTTAAGGTTTTTGTCATTATTTCTTACAAGCTTATACATTAGGCAATAGCCTATACACAACAAGCTTACTATATATCTTAAGGTTTTCTTTTAGTTGAAAACATTAAACAATATGTGTAAACAAAATATATAAACAACAAAAGCATTTAAGCTCAGGCAGCGCAAACGGGGAAAAAACGGGAAAAAAAAGAAGCAGACTGCGCAGTTATCGTACAGAACGTAGTCAGCATACTCGAGTCAGCATATGATTATCGTGTTTATATTGTTTCACGTTCATGTTGAGAAAAACAATAATATCCACATGCTCGAGTGAGAAAACGCGCTGCGCTGACACACAGGCGTTGCAGAGACGCGCGCGCGTGTGTGTGTGTGCAAAGTGAAGTAACAGCACTTTGCGTTTTCTGTTCTTAAACCTGTCTCCCTCAACGAAACTTAAAGGAAGCATATGTCAAAATCATTTTGCTACCAGAAGATATCGGGGTACAGCTGCTGACCTGCAGTCGTTAATGCAGTGATGGACAGCTGCTTCCTCAGTCGACTGCTGTTTCTTTGGATTTCATGTGATTTCTCATTGTGGTGGTGATATTATGATAATAATAATAATTAATAATTGATTAAACGTAATTCCATTTTGTAATAGGCTATCATTTTCATTCAAGTAATTCCAAACTTCGCGAGGCAGACAACGACATTATGTGATCAAAAACACAATCCACTTGTTAAATGCTCCACCCAGTGCATTTAATTATAACTGTGGAAAAAAAATGAAGAAAAAAAGTATTAGTATTAGTATTTTATTTTTTTTAATAATAATTACAGAGCGAAAATTCGAATATTCGTGCACATCCCTAATAGAGATATAGATCCCAAACTTGAAATGAAATGTTTGCACTTTCTGTCTTGTATTGTACTTTATATGTGTTTTTCATGCCAACAATGTTAATAAAATTATCAAATGCATTCAGTGGCACTCATAATTTCTCTTATTTTCACCGGAAAAAATTTGGCTAGTGGAAATTCTAAATGGCTGGTCACTTTAGAAAGTTACCAGCCACATTGGCTGGTGATCAAAAAAAGTTAATTTAGAACCCTGGTTGTAGCCCATCCGCCTCAAGGTTGTGCGTGTTGTGGCTTCACTAATGCTTTGCTGCATACCTTGGTTGTAACGAGTGGTTATTTCAGTCAAAGTTGCTCTTCTATCAGCTTGAATCAGTCGGCCCATTCTCCTCTGACCTCTAGCATCAACAAGGCATTTTCGCCCGCAGGACTGCCGCATACTGGATGTTTTTCCCTTTTCATGCCATTCTTTGTAAACCCTAGAAATGGTTGTGCGTGAAAATCCCAGTAACTGAGCAGATTGTGAAATACTCAGACCGGCCCGTCTGGCACCAACAACCATGCCACGCTCAAAATTGCTTAAATCACCTTTCTTTCCCATTCTGACATTCAGTTTGGAGTTCAGGAGATTGTCTTGACCAGGAACACACCCCTAAATGCATTGAAGCAACTGCCGTGTGATTGGTTGATTAGATAATTGCATTAATGAGATATTGAACAGGTGTTCCTAATAATCCTTTAGGTGAGTGTATATATATATATATATATATATATATATATATATGTATATATATTCATATTCCATAATGCAGTCCAAAATGAAGACACAAATATTGTGTGATACTATGTGGTTGTCAAACGTTTGCTTGTTCATAGTTAAATGCTGAGGAGAAATTCACCACTGAACTCCATACAGTACTAAAAGCAAATCTCAAAATTGCTTTTTCTCACCTTGCAGGGAACTGCAAGAAAAGGGCGCAACTTAGTCATTCCAAAAGAAAGCAAGCAACCATATCTCTTCAGGAAGGGTACCTCTATGAGGTACAAGGAAGCAATTTTATCATTTATGATTACATTATCCTATCCTAAAGGGACAGTTCACCCAAAAATAAAAATTCTGTCATTAATTGCTCACCATCATGTCATTCCAAACCCATAAGACCTTCATTCATCTTCAGATCAAATTAAGATATTTTTGACGAAATCCAAGAGCTTTGTGACCCCCCATAGACAGACTGCAACGTTATTACCACTTTCAAGGCCCAGAAAGGTAGTAAAGACAGTTAAAATAGTCTATGTGACTACAGTGGTTAAACCTTAATGTTATGAAGGGACGGGAATACCTTTTGTGGACATAAACCCCCCAAAATAACTACTTTATTCAACAATTTCTTCTCTTCCGGTTTGGAACGACATGAGGGTGAGAAATAAATGACAGAAATTTCATTTGTGGGTGAACTATCCCTTTAAGTATGAATTTAGCTTTTATGTTGTTGTCATGGAAACATTCCGATTCAAAATAAAGTGGCAGTGACGTATGGCTGTATGAGACAGTAATGCCTTGCACTCACTTCAAATGATCTGCCCTTCGGATATTAGAATCGCCTTGAGACCAATTGTGAAAGGGAAGCTTTTAAAACGAATGCAATGAAATTCATGCATTTTTAATTGTGACTTAAGTGTCTAAATACATTTGGGGCTGCCATACATGCCATTGTATGGAGTTTGTGAAAAAGTACAATTGCTTGATGTTTGTTATATTTGCATAGTGCTTGCAGACACTAGAGTATTAAATGCACAGTATTTCAAAACAGATGTGGAAATGGAGCCAGTAGAGAGAGAGAGAGCGGGAGAAACATGATTTTAAAAGCCCCTGAGGCATATGATTAAGAGTCTTATTATTATTTTACTGTCATATCTTGTCCCAAAATATCTCCCTCTACTCCCTCAGAGTCCTTTAAACAGATTACAACTGTTATTATGCTTTGGCAAATCTTCTCAGTGTTATGGCTCTTCACAAATTTCGGTGTTGAAAAGAACGAGGCTGATAGTCAATCAGTAAGTGATACCTTATGAAAAATCTTAATTTGAAACGCATAAATTAAATGGTACAATGCAGTATTTGGATGGCGCCCATGTGCTAGACACATTTCAAAATAAACCGGCACCGAGTGAGTGAGTTTAAGAGACCTTGAGGCATTTGAAAGGCTTCTTTCTCTGCTGCTGTATGCTGATGAAGAGACATGAAGGGATTGAAGATCTGCCTACAGGTGGGTGTGTGTGTGTGTGTGAGTGGAGGTATAGAGGCTGTGTCCTGCTGAGGGCTCGGGATGTTATTGCTCTTGTTCGGTGTCTCTGAGGAAGTCAAACTGGTGGGATCTTGTGAGGAGGTGGAAGACCGACCCCCGTAACCTCTCTATCATCTCAGCATCGGATCTGCTGCCCACCAACGGGTTGAGCAACTCACGCCACCCCCAAACACAGTCCTACTCCATTCAGAGCCGGCGTTAATGCAACTCCGGCTGATTTAAATGGATTCCTCTATGGAAATGCTTATGTAACGTTACTGGCCTCGTAAGATGCGCGAGTCATGTGATCTTTGGGGAGGGACCGCGCAGAGGAGATGCGAACCTTGAGGTCTTGGTTTGCCCTGACCCCTCTTCATAGCCTCCGGGTAATTGCGAGGAAAATGGATGCTTTGTTGAAGTTGTGAAACACAAGTGGGCGTTTTTATGGAGTTACTCCAACAAGTGCTCTAACACTCATCTGGCAATAATTGCCAATAATTGTGCACATTAGTGCTGCTCTGATGGATTTTGTGAGTGAAATATTTCTGCCCTTTAAAAAGGCCTGTGGGACAATAACCACAAGGTATTACAGGCACCGCTGTACATTTAATACAATCAATAGAAGCAAGCTGAACCATTAGACTGGCTTCACAGTGCGCCAACAAATGGCAGCGGTGCAACACAATGATGCTCTGCAGGAGGGAGGCTCATTTGGGTCTGATTAAAATCATCACTCATGTCTGGTTGACCCCATCGTTTTTCATACAAGAGTCAAACACTTCAGAATAGTGCCATAAAAACCACCTGGTTGAATCACAGTATTTCAATTGTCACCTAAAAAGAGGGGTTTTGTGCCAACGCTTTATTAGAGAGCGCTTGCTGTTGAAGTATGTTAATGTTTTAGTTGAAAGAAAAGGCCATTAGTTGTCCTCGCAAAATTCTGACATTTTTAATTGGGTTTGCTTATGTATGAGTGTGTAATGCATAACACAAAAAAGTAATTTTTTGGTACCAAGTCGAATGTTGTTGTTTTTAAGACAAGCTGGCTCTTGAAGGCATGGTTGTTCAGCGAGCTGAATGCAGACCTGCAGTCAGTGAGAGCTACATGAAATTAAAGAAGTAAGTCAAAACTGTTCAGAATACTTTGATCCTGTCAAATGTATTTGATCTGATCATCTTTTATTCATGTTTTATTCACAGGCTGCAGATTGAAGAATCCACCAAACCTCTTCGTTTTTCTCAGAAGCTTGAGAAAGCAATCACAACCAATTACAAACCTGTGTCCAACCACAGCTATAATGTAAGTGTGTGTGTGGTTCAGGTATTTCCTACGTTATGGGGTAAAAAATATGATATCCCTACAAGGATGGCATAAATGATACTAAATTATGTTTTTTGAAAATGTAAAAAGGCAGAAAGTTTGCTGTGATTGGTAGGTTTAGGGTAGGGGTAGGCAAGTTCGGTCCTAGAGAGCTGCTGTCCTGCAGAGTTTAGCTCCAACACTGAAAAAAAACCTCTCCTGCCTTAGTAATCCTGAAGACATTGATTAGCTTGTTCAGGTGCGTTTGATTAGGGTTGGAACTAAATTTTGCAGGACAGCGGCTCTCTAGGACCGAACTTGCCTACCCCCGGTTTAGGGTTAGGGGATAGAATATACAGTTTTTGCAGTATAAAAATATGATGTCAATGGAAAGTCCCCATAAAACATGGAAACCCAACGTGTGTACAACTATTTTCATGCGGACCGGTTTGAGTTTTAGAGAGATATCATAACTTGAGCGAATTAATGAATGCTCTGTTTTGCTTATGCTTCTGTTCAGTTGGAATATGAGAAGAAAAAGAAAGAAGAAGGCAAGCGCGCAAGAGCTGACAAACAGAAGGTTCTGGAAATGCTCTTCTCTGCCTTTGAGAAGCACCAGTACTACAACATCAGAGACCTGGTGGACATCACAAAGCAACCGGTGGTGAGTTATTCAGCTCAAGATGATTAAACGTGCAAACACTGTGCCAGGAACAGAAACGGCTCTCTCCAGTATTTTTAATGTGGACTGCAGTACCCATTTTAACTGTTATCTGTCAATATTACATACTGCACCTTTTAAATTAAACATTTTAAGGTGATATTATTGGAAAGTGCACTTTTTAAGTGTACCTAAGTGTGTTGATAAAAAGTCATGAAAGTGTGCTTTTTTTAATATACTTTGAGGTGCTGTACACTATAAGTGTGCATTTGTGCAATGTACACTATAAGTGTGCAAGTGTGCAATGTATCTCTTCTTTTTCACAAGGGTTTTTTCTGACAACATTAATGATGGCAGTGGTAAATCTCATTTGTTTCTCTGTCTTCTCTGAGAGAGATTAAACCAAATAACAAGAAATCACAAATATTTAACATGGACTTGGTCTTGATTATATTATCATAGATAAGTGAGCTCCTATGAATAAATGCCACTTGACTGCTGCCTCTGTCTCCCTGAAGGATTGGAGAAATATAAATGTGATTGAAGTTAGATGAGTCATAACTAAAAAGAAACTAAACTGAGTAGGAAAATTACTTCCCACAGTGATTTTGCCATTTAGTGGATAGATTACACTAGTGAGGCTAAATAAAGAATTTATTACTTTTCACAAAGAGAGACTTGATTTAAGACCCCCTCTGGTGAAATCAAGTTTTTAAGGTTGTTTATGTCTATGACACGTTTTTAGTGTTTCACTGCTTTAAGACAAACCATGTGCAAATTCATAAGTCAAAACCATTGCTGAGTATTTTCTCCTTAAAACTGCAGTGAACCAAAAACTGTCAAAAACGTCTCATTCAACGTTCTCATTTACGTTTATTTACATTTATGCATTTTTGCAGACGCTTTTATCCAAAGCGACTAACATTGCATTAAGGTACACATTAATCAGTTCTTGCTTGAATCAAACCCATGACCATGGCGTTGTAAGTGCCAACGCCCTACTGTTTGAGCTACAGGAAAGTCAAACATCAGAAATATGTTGTAACAAATCACGTAAACTTTAGCATATCATTAACTATACTGCGAAGCAGGGGATTCTCAAGAGAAGCCAGATTATCCCAGTATATTTTTCTGTTGAAATGAGAAATCGAGTACATTTAACTACAGTGGGGAGAACAAGTATTTGATACACTGCCGATTTTGCAGGTTTTTCCACTTACAAAGCATGTAGAAGTCTGTAATTTTTATCATAGGTACTCTTCAACTGTGAGTGACGGAATCTAAAACAAAAATCCAGAAAATCACATTGTATGAATTTTAAGTAATTAATTAGCATGTTATTGCATGACATAAGTATTTGATACATCAGAAAAGCAGACCTTTAATATTTGGTACAGAAATCTTTGTTTGCAATTACAGAGATCATACGTTTCCTGTAGTTCTTGACCAGGTTTGCACACACTGCAGCCGGGATTTTGGCCCACTCCTCCATACAGACCTTCTCCAGATCCTTCAGGTTTCTGGGCTGTCGCTGGGCAATACGGACTTTCAGCTCCCTCCAAAGATTTTCTATTGGGTTCAGGTCTGGAGACTGGCTAGGCCACTCCAGGACCTTGAGATGCTTCTTACGGAGCCACTCCTTGGTTATCCTGGCTGTGTGTTTCGGGTCATTGTCATGCTGGAAGACCCAGCCACGACCCATCTTCAATGCTCTTACTGAGGGAAGGAGGTTGTTGGCCAAGATCTCGCGATACATGGCCCCATCCATCCTCCCCGCAATACCGTGCAGTCGTCCTGTCTCCTTTGCAGAAAAGCATCCCCAAAGAATGTTTCCACCTCCATGCTTCACGGTTGGGATGATGTTCTTGGGGTTGTACTCATCCTTCTTCTTCCTCCAAACACGGCGAGTGGAGTTTAGACCAAAAAGCTCTATTTTTGTCTCATCAGACCACATGACCTTCTCCCATTCCTCCTCCGGATCATCCAGATGGTCTTTGGCAAACTTCAGACGGGCCTGGACATGCGCTGGCTTGAGCAGGGGGACCTTGCGTGCGCTGCAGGGTTTTAATCCATGACGGCGTAGTGTGGTTTTCTTTGAGACTTTGGTCCCAGCTCTCTTCAGGTCATTGACCAGGTCCTGCCGTGTAGTTCTGGGCTGATCCCTCACCTTCCTCATGATCATTGATGCCCCACGAGGTGAGATCTTGCATGGAGCCCCAGACCGAGGGAGATTGACCGTCATCTTTAACTTCTTCCATTTTCTAATGATTGCGCCAACTGTTGTTGCCTTCTCACCAAGCTGCTTGCCTATTGTCCTGTAGCCCATCCCAGCCTTGTGCAGGTCTACAATTTTATCCCTGATGTCCTTACACAGCTCTCTGGTCTTGGCCATTGTGGAGAGGTTGGAGTCTGTTTGATTGAGTGTGTGGATAGGTGTCTTTTATACAGGTAACGGTTTCAAACAGGTGCAGTTAATACAGGTAATGAGTGGAGAACAGGAGGGCTTCTTAAAGAGAAACTAACAGGTCTGTGAGAGCCGGAATTCTTACTGGTTGGTAGGTGATCAAATACTTATGTCATGCAATAATATGCAAATGAATTACTTAAAAATCATACAATGTGATTTTCTGGATTTTTGTTTTAGATTCCGTCACTCACAGTTGAAGAGTTCCTATGATAAAAATGACAGACTTCTACATGCTTTGTAAGTTGTTCAAGTTGTTCAAAGCATTTCTAAGGATACTGATTTTCAGAAGGCAGATGTCCAAGATGTCTGACTCTGAGATGGTGAACGGGAACATGGTTTGTGTAACATTAGCAACACATTATTAGCTGTTTGATAACGTAGTCAAATAAAAGGCTAATCATATTAATTATTGTTATGTGTCGACGTCGTAGAGAGCGATACATAAACCGCATTACCATTCTGATACATCGACTTTGTAGATGAGCCTGTATAATTCACTCTTCCACTTCTTCTGAATCAGTTTCTGGTTCAAACATATATGGCTGAAGTAAACCAGTATTTCCACTTGCCATTGTGCAGCGTTTACTATAGTAAAGTTGACTGGAAAGGGAGATATTTTATTTAACAGAATCCATTTTTCAAGAACTACGACGAATGGCTCGTTTGGACTACAACACGATTTTTCCGGATCTTATGAAGTCACAATGTTACTCATTTAAATAATCTCTGCCCACAGAATAAGCAAAAAGGGGACGAGGCCTGGTTGAGCTGCATTAGAGAAGACAATGTTGTCGCTACGTCAAAGAGACAATGTTTTTGCCACATTTCCAAAAACTCATTTGTTTGACCTTCCTAAGGCTGACAAACTTAAGGTGGTTAACTTATTTTAAACACTGTTCCTGAACATTATAACCACAAAGTGTATCTGTGCGCTGCACATTTTATGGAGAACAGCTTGTTCTTTTGCTTTTGTAAGCTTCTGGTTTTGTAAGACAAAATTACAAAAAACATACCACTCCGAAACATCCTGTGAAATCCGTGCTTGCAAAGTCTGTACATGAAATCTGTTCTGCACGATCCTCTTGTTCATTAACATTGTCAGGGTCTGAATCGGGCTCGAATTGGTTTGTAATTGACAATATTTACACTAGAGAAAAACTTGCTGTTATGGAGGGGCGGGACATTTCCCGGACGCACACCAAGCGGTGCCAATCACAACACACTAGGCCAGCTAATTGGAAGGAGGGGCTTCATCAAAATCAGCGTGTTCGAGCGAGACTGGGGAGAGAGAAGCTGTAATAATGTTAAAAAAAAAATCTTTTTTTTTTTACAATCAGGCATGAAATCCTTCTAGTACACCCTAAAAACACAATCAAGAAAAGGGCATAATAGGACCCCTTTAAGAAGATTCACCGGCCATAAATATTTTTTACCAGCCACGAAACTATTTGCAAAAACAGGCAGTTATGACATAAAAATTTAAGATACCAGTGAAAATTCACAATTTTCATTAAAGGCACACTGTGGAATTTTTGGCCACTAGGGTGCGCTCGACCTGTAATTTTCACGTCTAGTGCCCCTAGAGGCCACAAGCGCCGCAGCATTGTCGCAAAAGTCAACAAACAGTCAACCGGTCAACCTCCGGTGTCTTTATGTGTGTTCAGACGGCATTTGATTTGTATGTTGGAGAAAGTTAATCGATTCACTACTGACCAAAATAATAATATAAATATAAGATTAATAATATAAATCCTATAAAGAAAACAAATTGAATAAAAGTAGCATACGCAGAAAACAATGTCTGATCAGGTAAGTCGCATTGACAAGGGTTGCCCAATCCTGCTCCTGCCGATCGTCTGTCCTGCACAGTTCATCTCCAACCCTAATCAAACACACCTGAAGCAAACAATTAACGTCTTCAGGATCTCTTTGCAATGGGTTGGAGATGAAATCGAGTAGTCGGGAAATCGTGTAACAAAACTGATATAACTCACTACATATTTCCGTTATTTGTAGTCTTCAGTTTGTTTTTCCTTTTACACAAATACAAACATATATGAGCTGAAAGGAAAAAAAAAACATTTACATTTACATTTGTATACGGCAGTATGTTGTGACTTATATCAGTTTTGTTACACGAATTCGCAGTAAATATTACATTATATATACACTTTTATGCCGATGTTTATTTTAAACTCTCCCTTTTTCTTTTTTTGGTCTCCTCTGACAAAATCTTTGCTTTCTTCGCTTTCTTCCGAGTAGCTGTTGATTCAGCCATGACGACAACATACAGACGCCGGCAATCAAACGCGAGTTGAGCTCTCACGTTAGAATTTGAGGAAGTTGGGGTGGTGGGGGAAGTGACGTATGCCGTAAAGCGGTCGAATTTTGTAGTTCTTTTTGCGCTCGGGTTCCTACCCGAAACCCGAAGTTACATAGTCCTAGTAAAAGCGATACAGACACCTTCAGGCTTCGGCAGACGTGTCATTCAACCTATTGTAAGTCGATGTACCATCTCAATGGGTTTTGGTAATATATTATAAAGGTTGAAAAGTTCCACAGTGTGCCTTTAACAGAAATTTAATAAAGTAATCAAATGTAAAATAACACTGCATAGTCTTCACTGTTTAAATTAAACAGTTTAATCCTTTTTAAAGTTACAAAAGTTATTCAGTCAAGGGCAGTGAGTGATTTTTCTGTGTTTTTTTGTTGGCAAGATTGGCAAGACTTAGGCCCCGTCCACACTACTGCGTTTTCGTTTAAAAACGGAGACCTTTTGCTACGTTTGCACCTCCCGTCCACACTAAAACGGCAAAAATGGAGACCCAAAACGGAGAAGTTTAGAAACGCTGCCGACCCCGTTTTTCGTTTTGAATCTCCGGAGGGCGTTTTAGTGTAGACGGGTCAGAACGGAGGACTTTAGAAACGATGACGTAGTAGAGGTGTGTGCAGCGGCGGCGTTGACCGTACATGGAGCGTCGGGTTTGGGGTTAACACAAAGCATGGTGGGATAATTTTATCAATGAAGTTGTGTTTACACCGGCACGCGCATGCCCAGTGTTGGTGAATGGTCACGTGATCCGCGTTTTCAGTCGTTTTAATATGGACGGAGATCAATTCTAATACGCAGCTAAAACGCTGGTGTGGACGGAGATCGTATTCGTTTTAATTATCCGTTTCTAAACTAAAACCCAGTAGTGTGGATGGGGCCTTAAAGTCGCAGTCGGCAAGTCTGGCAGATTGAGTGGACTTAGGCAAAATTTGTAATGTTTACAACTCTCATGTAAATGCAAAGATTGAAAAATTGATATTTTTCCCCCACTATCAACGGATACCCTCCCACCGAGTTCGTGCTCGTCAGTGCGTGTCACCAGGTTATCATTGAACGCGCCCGTCTCATCAGCATCCATCAACACCATGGAGTATTTGGAGGTATGCTGCCCTGGCTAATCTACCGATAGATTGCAATTGCTAACGTCATTTATACTCTAAATGAGCTTACTTGATTTGTTAGTGTTTTGAAAGCGAGATACATCCGCCATCACTCTTCGTTACTGCGCGAACTTCAGGCGTGTGCATGTGATTGTAACGTGCACGAGGGGTGGCGTGTGCTCGATCTGTGATTGACAGTCAGATCTCACCCCCCCCTGCGCTGATTGAACCCGATGATCCGGGAGCTGTGGATTTTTGCAAAACAAATAACACGCTCCAGGTGGAGTTAGAAGCTCGGGTTTTTTTCTAAAACCACTTTATTTATGTTGTTCTGTCGGATTATAGTGTCGATTTCACTGAATATGATCAAAAAAATGTTGCCGACGGCAGCTTTAACCTTTCGTGACGATGCAGCAATTGTCATGAGCGTCGTTCACGATCTCACAAGATTGCATTGTTGGAATTTATAAAAATATTACCAGCCAACTGCTGATCCACACAGTTTCATATACTTGCTAACACCGGATTTTACTCTGGTTTGGCGCTCGGCAAGTGTTAATTTTAGGCCCTGCCGCCCTGGTTCAATTCAATTCAATTCACATTTATTTGTATAGCACTTTTCACAATATAGCCTACATCGTTTTAAAGCAGCTTTACAGAAAAAGCATGAGTCCACATTACAATTTAGAGTGATCTGTTATCAGAGGTAACTGTCTAAGTTATGCATTTCAGAAATGTAAATATATTAATCACAGTTAGCTAAAAATTTGAACAATGTAATAATGTAAGGTAGAAACAATGAGCTCATTGAAGTAATGAATACTGGTCTGTTAACAAGTGATTATGACATATAGAAAATTGTAGCATGGTTGCATGTATGATTGGATTTTGGCAGCATGTGTTCACCCTGTCTCTTCCTCTAGATTTACCTGAAGGAGATTCTCAGGGAGATCGGCGTGTACAATCCTAGAGGGCCTCATAAGAGCACCTGGGAGCTGAAATCAGAGTATCGCCACTATGAGGAAGGACAGGAGGAGGAGGAGGAAAAAATGGAGTAATCCAGTTTACATAAGCCTGGGGGTCTGTTTTGTTTCATGCAACTGTTGTTTCTTTCTGTGCCAGATTTTTTTGGTCTCTTATTCGTAGACCTTGTTAACTCTAAGGTGGAATGGATGTCAGTAGAAAAGAAATGAAGATATACTTTTTTTCTTGGGTTACATAAAGTGTTTCTCTAAGAGCATTATGAAATGAATACTTCAATTTGCATATGACTCTTGCATTCTTCTGAGTTAAGAGCACTTGTGTGTTATGGTTACAGTATTAATGAAACCGCAGATACCCTTTGGACTTTTTCCCATTAGTTTAATAATTTGCATAACTCTCGTCAGTTAATACTTAAGTGGCTGTGCAAATGAACAGATGTGTTCTAATGGGCAGGAATAATCACATGCAAGTAAATTGCTCAAGACCAAGCCCAGGGGACTCGTGTATAAAACTTTACATAGATTTCATCCTAAAAAGTGCACAAATGTTTTCAGACTTATTAACCATGCGTACACCAGAACCTGCACAAAATTCCCTTTATAAAACCCAGTCAGTGGAAGATGGTGCGCACATGCAACTCTTCCCCGAAATAACCATATATAGAGCTTACACTGATTATTGTGTGTAGGCTATCTTTGGATAGTTTACAAAATAGAACAATAGGCTACTCTTTGTTGTTTTAAACCCCAATCTTTTACTTATAACGTTCTTCATTAACGATTATCCAATTATATGTAATGTACAATGTCATTGCAAAAAAAAGAGAAGTAGTTTCAATGTAGCTAGCTACTTTATGATAGTAACTTGTAGTGTAGGGCACTACTTTTTCAGAAGGGTTGCTTGACTATAATCTTAACTATACTTAACTTGTGAGTAGCTTGTCAAGCTAGTTTGCTATGCATATCCTTATCTGCATATCATTCCCATATGTATTTCCAAGTAATACCATGTTTAACGGTACAAGACATTAGGTAAATCTGAGATAAGCACTATACATGCTATTTGTGCAGTTACATTGCATTTCTAAAAATCATTTAGTATCCTTGTCTTGTTTTAGAATAAATATAGGCTATCAAAATATCTTTAAAAGCAAAATTGTATAAAATACTTTTCAGAGAAGATTTATTCTTTTTCACTGGCCAAATAGTATTTAACACTTTAGTTTAGGGACCAATTCTCACTATTAACTTATTAGCATGCATATTACTAGGATTTTGGCTGATTATTAGTACTTATATACACATTAATGCCTTATTCTGCATGACCATATTCTACATCCCCTAATCCTATCCAATACCTAAACGTAACTACCTTACTATTAAATGAGCAGTAATTAGGAGTTTGAGGCAAAAGTCGTAGTTAATAGTGAGAACTGGAACTAAAGTGTGACCAGTATTTTTAATTGTTTTAAACATCAAATTTATGCAATTTTACCTTTAAGATAAACAGTTTAGTTTTGTCATCTGACCTTTTCAGAGAGAAATTACACACCTAGCACTCTTCACTGTCAAACATTAAAACGTGGTGTGCCACAGAAAATGTTCAAAAGCAGCACATCCACTACAAATATTTCTATCTAGTCATAATTTTTGCTGACCTTTTGGATAATGGTTTTTTTTAATGTAATCTGAGTGCTTAACTGTATTGAGTGAAATATTTCTAAATGTGTATATCAAAATGAGAACGGTTGAAAATCATCGTTTACTTAATTTCTTCACTCATTCCAGTAAAAGTGCATACACAAGGTCTAGAGTGTGCGCATTTTTTATTAATCTCGATAGGTGTGTGGAAAATTGCGTAGACAATGCCTTATTTTGTGCGTACAAAAGGTTTAGACATCAGGCCCCACTTCACCACAACTGACAGAAAAAGTGGGTTTTGCATTGCAAGTTGAAACATTTAGGAATTAAAGACCTTCAGACTGTTACCCTAATCTTTATACTTAAGCACATTGCCCCAAAATTCATTATCGTAACATCTTTTAGACCATCTGCAATCACCATTATTCTCAACAGTTTTAACTCAAACCTTTTTCCATTTAAATTAGCATGAAGGCAACAAAATAGGTTTACTACATATACTTTATTTGGGATTTGGATATGTCATGAAAATAAACATTTCATTTAGATTGGATAAAGGTATCCAAACTGTTCACCTAATAAAACACATTAAAGTGTCTTAGGTGTTTCCATGGTTTCTACAGAAGTAAAACCGGAAATCGATGGGAAGGCGGATATGACATCATTGACAGGAGATGTTACACTGGTTAAAATGGCTGATTTCTCTGGATTTAAACATTTTTGGAAACATTAAGACAAATTTCAAGAACACAAGTCAACAATATGTAACGCTGTTCTAGTGGTTTTTGGATGTTTTAGTTGTGCCTTTAACAGTAGTGTACAAACTGATATAATTAGTTTTCTTTCAAACATGCAATAATGAGCTACAATTTTTAAGATGAAGGCAAAGTCAATTATATTGTCATTACAATGAGCATTAAACAACTGCAGCATGCTTTGTTTGGATTCCTTGCTGGATGTTTATCATGAAACAGGAAGAAATCTAGTGGAAAGCTTTAGACAATAACATTACCTAATGTCTTGTATACTACATTTACATGCGTTCATCTGTGCTTTCTCCCTATCTGATGTGTGAGAGCCAAGTGTGGTAGGTACTGTAGGTGTGAAATTCTTATTCCATCACCACCTTCATACATTTGTTTTTCTCAGCCTTTCGGTCCTCCACTGTTATTTTTCTTCAGCTTGGGTGGATCCACCATGCCATCTGGATTTATAGTTCTGCCTGTGGAAAAACTGACAGAGGAGGAGGAGTCGTCAAAAATAAAGTCCTCAGACCTTCAGGCATACAAACCTGCAGAGAAAACATGTGCTCAGCTAATACATGCTATTATGTAGTTTCACTGGTCGTGACCTCAGCAATTTTGTAGTCATCATTGCACATCTTTACCGCGTTAATCCCATTCATTTTAGTCCATGTTGCTGAACTATTTGCAATAAAGGTGCATCCAAGTTAGCTTGAAGTGTCTTACCTTACAGTCCTTTGCATTATTCATTATTTTCTTTGTGTGCCATTCAGTTTGACTTCATCTTGGCTTTAATGTTGCAAACCTAAGAGGAAAACAAACAAACAACAATATTAAGCTCATTGACCATCATATATGCCACACTGGTATAATATCAGTTTTAATGCATATTCATGAGGCAGAAGGGCTCTTGACTTAGTGAGCACTTGTATGCTAATGCAGTACCTGACGGCCTCCATGTTAAACGCATTCTCATTTAATGGGCACCTTCCCTCTGTTCTCGACTGATGCTCGGACCCCAGTGTAAGAGAGCGGTCCATATCGGTCCATGTCCTGCAACACATCTAGTGAGAAAAGGAGAGGAAAGTCAATTAGTCATTTCATAACTCCAGCCATTCAATCATTAATTCCCCATAATCTACTCTCAAATGAATAAGCACTAACAACGAAATTCTTAAGGGTCAGGGAAGTGATTTTTTTTTTGTCATTATTAATAAAATTAAATACATTACATACTGCATGCAATTCATGCTATACATACTGCATGCAATTCATGCTAACATAACTTCAACAAATCTGTTCTATAAAAGGTAGCTTTTTCAGGTGACAAGACTAAACAAAAAAAAATGTTTACGTTACTAAGTTAATAAAATAGATAAAAGTGGAAAGGATTGCATTTTATCGGTATAGAAAATGATGCATACATTTTGCAACGATGTGTATGATTCTAATTTGATTACATATCTAAAAACTTGTCACGTGCACCTTTGGTCCAATTCGATAAAATCTGTTTTTAGACCAAATTTATAAGAATTAAGCATGTAGATATTTAACACCGAGTATTTAATTAACGTAAACTCCAGATTAAGCTGAACTGCATCAAGAATAAATACTAGCCTAATATTTGTCTGAAATAAGACATTTCAGCTTATACATTAAAAAGTAAAAATGGACAAAATGTTTTTTTTTACTTCGAATATAATTTGTTATAAACAATACACATTATCAAGTAGTTCACGATGGCCGAGCATGGCCAGGCATGATGGTGAACACGTGTTTCGCAGGCCAGAGCCTGAACAGTGTGGAAAACCACAACCGTCGTGTAGCTAATAACCTTCAGTCCAGATCCGTGTGCATTTAAGATTGTTGTTAAAGTTCAGATTACCTGCTATGCCGTCTTGGTGAGTCATTGTAGCGGATAGTAATTTCGGTCGCTGATATTATAAGACTTCAAGATCCACTGCTTCAACCACCTCTGCTTCTTCTGGGATTTCTTCGAAAAGGGGGAGAAATCTTAAGACACCGGGGTTTAAAAGCGGCAGGAAATACATCATCACTCGCCTCTCTCCGCCCATCGACTGGACATGTGCGCCCTCTACAGGAGATTACACTCATATAGGCCTACCAAAATCATTAAAATATATTTGAGACTTGAAATTTGATTTGTCATTGTCGCTGATAGATTTGATCTGAAATTATTAGCTCAGTTACTTTCCAACATTTTTCATTTAGTTTAAGTTGATGTATTAAAAAAAACTAAAATAATGACCTATATTTCCATCAGTTAATTAACAGTAAATTAAAGTTGAAGTAGAATTATTTATTTATTTAAGTTAGATCTAAGTATTACACAAATGTTCAGCAGTGTCTAGGTGTAACACAACTGTGAATAGGCTATTTGATGAAGCTTGAAAGCTTTGGGATGAGGAATAATCAGAAAATTCCTAAACTAATAATTTATTTAATATCTGTTGATCTATTTCAGACACATTTAGTGGAAAGCCATTGTAGGTTTTACATTATATTTTTTAGACTAGACATTTTATCTTTCTATTTTCAAAAACCATGCAAAAATGGCCACGTCGCTTTGTAAATCTCAAAGCAGTAAATCTCACACAATTCTCAATGGTAATACACATGACATGTAGCCTATATGTTTTAATCGCATAAACCTGCTTTTTATAAATGTAGCCACATGATGCTAGACAGGTTCCCTGTGTTTAGTAGTCCTGCCTGTGCTCTCAGTTTCAGCAGGTGGTGCTATTCAACAAGCCATACAATCGGATAGACCTTATTCAGAGCAGCGCCATGACAGGTCTGATTATGAAAGCGAGGCTGTGAGGTAGCCTGAAATGCATCCGCTGTATAAAGCGCCAAGTTCACTTATTAAAAAAAAGTGTTTCGTCATCGGAACAATCCAAAAATACATTTAATAATATCAGTAGGCTACAACAATGAAGATGTAAACAGCCTCGCTTTCATTCCCGTAAAAAAAATCAAAGATCGACGCTGCTGTGAATGATAAGATAAGATAAGACGCTCCGCCTCCAACTAATTAATGTTAATCATCAACCCCCGTAATACTGAAACAATTCATGAACTAGTAAACACAATCTAATCTAATGCTGAAAAACTGTGCTTAGGGGGCTTTTAGAGCACAGACAGATGATTAATGCTGCCTCTTTTTGTCTAATTAGTGTCTGGGCAAAATTAAGCCAAATTGCAACCGATTTCATTCCCCCTCGGGATATAGATAAAGTAAACGGACCTTATTTTGTATTAAAACCCCCCGCTTTTCTGTTTTTATGCTAGGTATTGATTGCCACGTGACTGTGTTATGCATTGCCTGGTAACAGATAATGGGCTAAAGCACTTGTACAGTATAGCCTACACTAATATCCAGATGAGGGCAGTAGTGCGTTACTGTCTGAACTTACAGAGTCTAAGACACATTTGACACGTTTTGATAGATTTTTCTTCTGGAACTAATGCATTTAAAACCGACAAAATTCCTTAAAATATATAGAAATGTCATTTAAATTAGATCTTCACAAAGGAAGGCTAGCATAATAATTTAAAATTGGCTATTATAATGTTTCAGCACCTGCTTTTTATCCGATTATTCCTTTCACTTATGATTTGCAATGTCCTGCAGCAGTGATGCTAACAGCTAACAATATGTGCCAGTTGTTTCAAGGCACCTCACTGTACATCCACTTGAGAGATAACAAGAAAAAGCAATCAAATTCTCAAATTACCAACAACTTCCCCATGTTCAGCTGACTGTCCGATTATCTGCCGGCCCTTGATACAACAGTGACGCAATTACAATAAAATGCTTACACTCTGGGCTAAAAAAATGACTGTCCTTCAATCAGTGTTGGATTGTGTGTCCTTAGAGATATGCTGCATATGCAGATGAGCTGCTAAAAAGAGATGCATTGGGTCATAAATGCCCAGTGCAATTAAATTCTTCAAACTGGGGATGAGACTCCGAGTGATTTATCAAAATGAGCCTCTTTCCAGTTTTTATCTTGGGCATAGAGAAAAGTCAATGCGTGAGACCTTTCATAAACTCATACATGATGCAAACCAGTCAATATCCTGCTTAAAAACTCAAATGTGTAATCTGTAGACGGCTTAAAATCTTGACTCTTCGGGGAAAGCAATGGGCACGTTCATGCAGATTTGGGGAAATGAAAGTTTTTAAATATTTAAGGTTTCAAAGATTTACTTTGACCATTTATTGGCTGTTCATGCATGCTGTCAGGTTATATTTATGGCAGTAATTTTACTGTGTTTAATTGGAATATGAATATTTTAATGTGTAGTTTATACCCTTAAGCTGTAAGAGACTGTCAGAAAATGTGATTTTAATCACAGAATTATAAAGTGCCCTTAGAAAGTGTTAGACTTTAAAATAATAGGATTTTGTGAGGTTCATTTTTGCATAGACAAACATGAACTTGTGAAGATTCATAAATCTGATGGGAACTGAGTGGACAATCGATTTTTTTTTAGATTTTCAATCAACAAAAAACAACTTTTAGATTGAATGTTTAACAGATTCAGTGTGGAAATCATGCTTGTGTTTTATTTGACAATAAGGTTTTATTTGTTAACATTAGTAATGTATTAACCTGTGTGTGTTTGTATACATATATACTGTATATATGCAAAATAGTGGCCCCGGACTTTTGGACCCCACTGTATCTATTAGCGTCATCAACGTATCATTGGTACACTGGAGACTTTGGCCACTCTCCTCTACTGGTTTTGACATAACTCATGTTGTTTTAATTCCTCAATGGTTAAGTCATATAGAGAATCAGGGTAGTCTGGGGCCGCAGTGCCTTTTTTGGGAATGTCATGTGAGAGCGCTGATGCCGTTTTGCCTGAAAATAAAGTTGGAGCTGTCTGGAAGTTGTGGAATGTGTAGCCGGCTCAGGGCCAGCGCTGTGTTTGGAGTCAGCCGGGCCGAATAGCAGAGGGTTCTCAGGGACACCCAGACAGGTACCGCTGATCATCCTTCTCCTCCCACCGCATGCAATCCGGAAAAACACTTCTAAGAATAGCTTTTATCACAGTTGAGCAATACTGTGAATCGAAACGCTTAGGTCCATCATTTGATGACAGCTCTTATTTTCTGCTGAAGGGAGGACATTTGCTGCTGATGTTCATGTTGCAGGACCAGTGCTTTGATGCCCTTTGGCAAAGTGTCCACACTAATGGAGAAAGAGTCTTCAGCATCTCCCACTGGAATCTGAAAGGGATAATTCACTCATAAATGAAACTTCTGTCATCATTTACTCAAAACATGAAAACATTTTCGGAAACACAAGAAGAAATAAGAAATTATATATATATATTCTTTTCTTTTTCTGGACATTTTGGATAAATATCTCTTTTGGTCGCCATTCATTATTATGGAAAACAGTAGCTTGGACATTTTTCTAGATATCTCCTTTTGTGTTCCACAGAGGAGGAAATTAATGCTATAACTATACTAAAGTGAACTGTCCCTTGTAGCTGCAAAGCACCTCCCTTCATCTCCTTCTTCAAAACATGTCTTTAAAGACCATTTCCCCTTGCTCTGTAAACTGCCTAACATGTCTTACAGCAAATAAAAAGTCACCCAGGCAGAAACAGACACTCTGCCTTACAAGCCAAATCCCAGAAGGACAATAACAGTTAATTCCTTTCATTATTTTATTCCCATTGCAGGGGGTTATAAATTGAACAAAGTCGTCTAGAAACTATTTCAGAATCTCCCAGGGCAGCCCTAAGGTTTAATGGAACGTGCATGATCTTATCTTTGGGAAGGGCCATTCAGTTATTGGAGGATGAGAAAGGAGTGGAACATTAGCCCATTATCATCACCACAGTGAATCTGTGTTTGGTGGGCATTAAAAAAAACTGCACTGCAATCAATGAAATAAATTCCAGCACTATCTTATGTAAAGGAGAAATAAACTTGTCTAATGGTAGGCTAACAGACACTTTGTTTTCAGAGTGACAGAGTATAAAAGCTGTCCCTTGTGAAAAAGAAGTACACTTTAGCATTATTTTAAAAGAGTACTTATTATGAAAATAATATACTTTTAAAGAATATACTTAAGGACTTAAGTACAACTTGATATTTCATAATTACTTCGTTTGCCTTTGAAATGCGGTTAAAGTGTGTGCTAAGCATTTATTGTAAACTAAAATATACTTTAATGTCATTTCTGTTGAAACTTGTGTGTCATGTATTTAAATACACATAATTTGTCATTTCTAATTACACATTTGTAATGCAGTTGCTATTTAATACATTTAAAATACAGTAACTTTAAATGTAATACTGAATAACACAGTACAGTTAAACTTATAATCAAGAGCTTTACATGAGCTTTAGTATGTTAGTCAACACATCAAAATGTGTGTACTTCTTTAAAGCACAACAAAAGATGATTAAACCATAATGATTTAAAATTTTATTTAAAGTAAAACTTAACGTAATTTAACATTATTACAAAAGTGCTTTTTAAAAGTGAAGTACAATACAACACAAGTGCACATTCAAAACAATTCAAAACAATTAAGCACGTCTTTTTCTCACTTTTTCTCAGGGCGGGTTGTGGGAAATTGGAGCAGTCAAATGAACATTATGAAATGCATAGTTTATTTTGATTCAGATGTCACATTTAAAGGTGTCGTTAAATAGCAAATAAACACACACCTGAGTGTACATTCTGAGTTAATACAGCAAGTTACTCAGCCACATTTAGTAACAACACATTTAGAGTGCTATTTATTGAAAAGTGGTGTCTTTTGTCATATTGTTGTTGTTTGCCCTTCACATTGTGCTTGAGAAACCTGTAAAACATGGCTTACGTAAGGTCCAGCTATCCCCTGCTAAAAGCAGCCTTCTACATCAGTCATTCAAAAGTGGAGCAAATTTCTCTTTTCAAGCAATTATATCATATATTAGATGTTTACCAGTGCCCAATTTTTCAGAGGGCTCTTAAAA